ACTGGTCAGCGAACAGTCTTCAATTTTCACAAGATTATATCAGTGAAAATGCATTCTTTTCAGTAGCACATCATTTGCAGGTAAACTGTGGTCGTTATGTTGGTGGGCACGCAGTTTTTCATCAAGCTTGTACTGATCATTCGATGGCACTCAGTCTCGCCGATTTCTCAGTTTGGTGCTACTTGTGTGAATCATATGTCCACAATGAAATTCTTATTCCTGCTAAAAATGCAGCATATTGCTCCAAGTTTGGTGTTCCGGATCCGCAGCAAGGGACATCCTCAGAAGACAGCCAATTGATTGATCATAACTGAGTAACAGTCAGTAACTGAGTAACTGATGATCACTGTACTGCAGCATAATGTTTACACCCTAGCGTCTTTCACTGATTTTTTTGCCTAATCTATGGCGATTTTAGTGGTGGCTTCTCGTATTCAACAAAAACCCCATGTATTATTACTGCTTTAGTGATAATCAGCTAAGCTTTCATCGAAACGCTTTTTCATACTATCAGTGTAGTTTACAGTGCTTCCGTTCTGCTTGATTCTAAGCTCGCAAACCAGCACAAATTTCAGGTATCCTCCTAACTGTGAAACTGTCTTCCCCTTTTCATAAAATTTAATTTTTTTGGTAGTCCCCTATTCATGTACGGTAGAAAGATCACTACTCATGTATGACAAAAAGACTTCAAATTCAGCTGCCCAGGACTGCCGGGGACTAACGTGCGGACACGTGGAAATTATGGCAGGAAAACTGATAACTCGGGAACGAGAAAAGCTAGAAAGCTGAAACTCCAGGGGAGTGTTCACTACTCATGTGTAACCAAAAGATTTCAAACTCAACTGCGCAGGACTACTCGGGCCGCATGTGCGGGCACATGAAAATCTGATGGGAAAATTGCTGACTCGGAAAGGGAAAAGCTAAAAAGCTGAAATTTTGGGGAAATGTTCTGTACTCACGTACGATCAAAAGACTTCGAATTCAGCTACTTAGAGTCGCCTGGGATTCACATGCGTGCATGTTAAATTTTTTAAGAGAAAATTGCCAGCTCGGGAACGAGAAAACTGGAAGGCTGGAATTTTAAGGGAATGACGACCAAAAGATTTCAGATTCAATTCTTTTAGTGGGGTCCTTTTTGCACACCAGCAACTTTCCATTTTTCGAGTCATCGAAGCCGACATTTACAGCTGACATGCCACGTATCTGCACAGTTTAGGACGAGGGCCAGTATGTCACAAATTCTAGCTACTGTGATTCCTTGCGATCTTACTGCAGCAGAAAATAGCGCAAAAACGCATAATCACACTGGTCCACCTTGTTTTTGCGCATTTATGGATCCTTAAAACTGGTAGAAGAGGTGACGAGTGTGCATATGCATGTGTGTGTATTCCTAACAGTTGTTTACTCTTTGACTGTCCGTTGTCTTTGTTTTTTGGTGCTTTGTTTGATGGACATGAATAAGGAAAAGTAGGAGGGAACACGGAAGACGTACGATGGAAAGTTGAAAGGTGTAAGAAGACAGAACTCACAGCAAAGACATCTTCCTAGTTTTTGCTAGTGAAAAAATGCTCATTTTTGAATTACTACCT